ACACTAATAAAGAAAATAACGCTTTCTTGAGGTTGCAAATTATTTTCTAAGGTGCTGGAAATTGTGTATTACGTAAGTGCGCACCAACCATTATAACTCAATAACTAATAAGTATTTCCTTTTAATAGGTGCGCGAGGACGAAGCCATCTATGATTTTAATGTCCTGGTTTTATAGAATGTTGTATATCTTGCGATAAAAAAATGTTATTACTAAAGAAGACCGCGGAAAATACATTCGCTAGAGAGTCGCCAAGGGGCGTAGCCGCCACCTTAAACTTTTAAAGTGATTTTCTCTGAATTCCGCTCAGTAAATGTACCAAAAAAGATATGCTTTTTGAAACTAAGCTTTTTTCGAATTATTTTTTGTTTAAAACTTTTTTTATTTAAATGAAATTAAAATGGTGAGAGGTGAGGTGAATAAAAGTATTCTTAGCTCAAACAATTGTTTTTTAAAAATATATTGAATAGTCTCCACCACTTTATTTTAACAGATACGTCAAAAAATCCCTAAACATTTTTTTAAAAATTTAAGTTATCTGTTACTTCCCCCGGCGACTTAGAAATCCGAAAATATGTTTGGCGGTCTTCTTTTGGTCAGTTTAGAGATTTTTTAAATCTCTCCGACGAATTGTTTGCGAAATACAGCACTCGATTGGGTCTCACTGTTACAAGGTGATAATAAAAGTTATATTAAAACAAATTCATTCCATATATAGACAATAGAATTGTTGGTGTACAAAATTGGGTAGGTTGCGGAGTTTTGGATCACAAGAATTATAATGAAAAAACGACAACGCACAATTTCACCTTAGTACCAAATTATTGGTATTGCTTGACACTACCGAAAATTATTATCTATTAATTACTGGTACTGAAATATTAATTATCTCTTGTATTTTTATGATTTAATTAAAGAAATGTAGGTAATCGGTCAAATGGCGTCCTTGGACTTCTGACCGGCGGACATTGACATTGTTGCGCCCTATCTGGGTAGGGTCCACGCATTTAAGTAATTACACGACCATTTTGCCCTCCCATATTTATGACCAAGCGACCATGATACGCTGTCGCTAGATTTACCGTTCTGGTCACGCACCAAATATCAATTTTCATAAGTCGTCCGAACCCAAAAATGGAGTCTTGCTGTTTCCTCTCTCTTGACGTGATAACCTAAAAATTTCTTCGTAACCCGTATATCCTTACGCGAATTGGTGGCCCGCTTTCCAGGTCGCCGCGGTTCCCGTCTGCATACAAACGTAATAACACTGTATACACTTTTTATATTGTATTTGTATTCGTATAGGCAAGTGGGACCCATGTTTGCCGGTCAGTCGGATTATAGAAAAAATGGAGGTAGCGTTAAACTGCTATATATATTCCAAAGATATAATTTGTTAGTTATTATATTAAGGGCTAGTTGTATCGATTATGTTAATACGGGAATAGACGCCATAGGCTATAAATAAATAATCGGATAATGAAGTTGCGTCATCGCGTAACGACATTGCGTGGGAGTCGAAGGTAAAGAGTTCTTCGATATAAAAGTTTAACCTTCTCTTGATGGGTTACTCTAAAAAACGCCAACTGCATCGACGACGTCTGTTTTCCTAATATGGACTTCTGAGTAATTTTTTTTATAGATGTTCTTTTCGTCACTTAGAGAAAACGACTATTTATCGGCTCCATTATTTTCTAAATTCGTCGTTTCTGTTCGTTAAAAATGCACTTGTTCAGCCTTTCACAACTATTTACAAAAGTCGATGGTTAACCGTTGTACATTTTTTTATTTATGGATGGTTAGGTTAAAATATGTAGATTAGATGCTCGATATAATGCGAACGTATTTTGAATTCTGCTTCATAAAATTGAAGTAAAATTAATATTACGACCTCATTTATTTTTAGTAAAAGAAAATTAACACTGATTTTGAAAAACAATTGTTAAAACCGTCGCTTCCATTAAATACGTCAAAGTTCTTTATTTTTGATGGTACGTTCAGTGCCCTGGAACTTAAATGAGTCGATGCCCTAGGTGCTTATTGATTATTTACGGTTATAGTAACAAAATGGTTCTTACAAGGTTCTGATTCAAACTAAATTCGCTTGTGCTTCGTACAACTAGTATCAATTACATTTTCTATTGCGATAAACAGTGATTGGGTAAAAAACTAAAGGAAACATAGTTAACCCGACACTTTAACGTAACCTACCGTAAAAACAATTGGAAAGCAAAGCTCCTTCCTTGTTACGCGAAAGTATGATTACAATTTTCGCGAGGTACGGCCTAAAGGCGAATTAAAATCCATACGCTTGCTATTTCCGTTCAACGAATTTGCGTCTACCATAATGTTCGGCGTTGCGTATTCCGTAAACGTTAAGTTAACGTCGAGCGGTCGCGACGCCAACGACGCGAACCGTTCAATTTTATTGGGTTTAATTGGCGGCGGTATACACGTGATGACGCTGACGATTATTATTTAACTGCGGTCGCGTGTTATCTGAATTCGCGCTTTTAGATTGCACATCAGGGTAGACAGTTTTAGCCAAAGAAATACTTAGTTACGTAGATTCGACAAGCCCTTAAACGGGGGATTAGCGCAGATCATATTCCAAGCGCGCGCCGTTGCCACGTTTCAAATTTACTACCTGGTCCGATTAAAATACAGAGTGTTCGCCATGTTTTAGCCTCGTATCTAGAATATCTTATTACCCGAGGTCCACATCGTATTCATTGTATTTAGCGTTAGGCTTAAAGAGGTCATTTTTGTTTGTTAATGTTTTGGGAACCTGTAAAAGTACGAGTAATTTTATGCGAATTTAATAATTTGGCTTTGAGCTTTGCCATCTTTGTTAAATGCACCTAGGATCACCCAGTTTTCAATTAATTTAAAGAATCATTATCCGTTAAAAAATAATGGTCATAAATACAAGAAAGGTTTGCATATGGGATGTAAAAAGAAATAGTTAACACGAAAGTCATAAAATCAAATAAAATAATAATTTTTTAGGGGACCTGTGTTCATCCTGTAGAATTTACAATAGTGGACGTAATATACAATTTATTACAGGTTACTAAAAGTCACCTTCTTCCATTCAATCAATCACACGTTATCAAGACTCACCAGTTCCCTATGGCCACTTTTATAAAGGCTTGGACGAACCGCAGCTTTGCATATTTTAATTTTAAATTTCTGCTCTTTTCTGCTATATCTTCCACTTCATATTTCAAAAAATTATAGCTTATATATCTTTATTTATTTCTCCACGAGATGAAGTAATCTCTCTTTACTGTAAACCTACATTCATATTGTCCAAGCTGCATCAAAATTGTCATAATTTGAATACGTGACCTCTTCAAATCCGGGCATTGTAGGACATATTTCAATATTTTCTTCGTTCGGATCATTGATAAGGGTAATTATTACAGTTGTTTTTTTATTGGAATGGAATTTGGACACTATAGATTAACACCACATACTAAAATTTTTCTTATTATTAGGATTTTCATTACCTTCGTGAAATATTGCCCAATTTAAATTGGGTCCTAGTGAACGAAATCCCCACCACTCCACACAACTTTTTTAATTTTACAACTTTTGTATGGTGTTTCTCAAAGTACATTGTGTTGCTTTTTGAGGGACCCTACCTCAATAAATATTTAATTTCTTGAGTGTTGCCTCTTAGGCATGTTAATATGTCGCGTGATATATTAGTGATGCATTGTTTTAAAGAGAAAGAATGTAAAACCTAATTCTAGCCTATTATAGGTAATGCAAATCTATAAAACCATTATAAATTTGTACCATATTAAACGTAATAAAATATTAAACTAACCCAAATATGGTGATACTCTAAGAGTTGTTTTAATTTAGTTAAGTGTAAGCATCGATTGGTCAAAACCAAAAATATTATAATTATTGACAAATAAACGAGGTAGGTAGGAAAATATCTTTTGTTTCTTGTGTTTTGGAATTCTAAGGAAATCCGTTTTGTCAGCAGTTGATGGATTCAAATACAAAACATCAGTTTTTTATGGAAGTACTTTGGCGTTTCAGACGTAGTAATTATTTTATAAAGCTTTCTAAATGGCAACATGTTGTGGGACACCGGACGTATTCTAAAAATAAGTCTTGAGCACAAGTTTTGGACTTTTTCTATTCTTCGTTTATTAAAGAAGCGTGCCATATCTTTTTGGTGGCAATATCAAAGGATAACTTCAGTATTACATAGTCCTTTTTACAGTAAGTTTTGGAAAAGTTGTTTTACAAGAATGTAACTACCTAAATAAACAATAATGTTTATTTTGTTAAAGCACTTCTGTCGTTTAATGCCTACCGGTTTGGAGATTTATGGGCATTGTCAGCTAACTTTATTTTTACTCATCATATACTTATACTTCGAGACAAACCATACACCTGTGCCAAAAGTAAAATCGTATGAAAGCCACGTTAATTGGGTACACCTTATGGTGAACGGTGCGCCTCAACTGTTTGAGTACCGTTCTGCGGAATTAAAAAATATATATATATCAACGGCAGATCGTTTGACAGTATCCGCGCGGTCGCCTGAGAAAACCCGCATCGAAACAAATGGTAAAGTAACAATCGAATGGGCGCGACCTTGACGGCGAGCGCACTCATATTAATATTGCCACATTATAACTTTTTTTTTCTCGCTCCACGTCCCCCCGTGCTCTGTACGTGAACCGCAGTCTACTATTCGATTGGCTCGGCTCGCGATCGTTGCTGATCGAGATTAAATCCTCGGGATCGATTTTGATAACGACGGGCCGCCGGTGACACGCCTCGTCCCGCAGTCGTGGACGTCGTCGTGTGTTGGCGTAGTTTTTTTTTTCGTCCTTTCGGATATTATTATTATCGGTTGGTTCGCGTTTTTCCGCTATTGGGGGATCGAGAACGCGAAGGATGTGCTAGGGCTGGCGCGTTCCTGGCGATTTTTTCGCCACCACCGCAGCGGCAGGTATATAGTCCGTTTCGGAAATATTCTCCGATCCGTTTGAGTGCAATAAAATTTAGTCGACACCGCTGCTATTGAAACGCAACTGCTCCCTGTACTTGAACTTAGCTAGCGCTCAGTTTCTTTAAACTATGCCAGAAGTAATTGCTAAGGGCTTCAGTATTAATTATTATATTTGTAACGGAATTTGTCTTACGCATTTGTTAAATTTATGTGCTTATTGGAAAAGTACTCGGTTTCTCTACTAATTGAATTTGAATCATGCCAGATATGTCCGATCTGATTAAAAATACAGTTACAGCGTATCCTGAGGCGTTTCGTGCGAGGTTTCGATTCGTTTTAAGTTCTCCCCAGCACCGTTTTGAAATCTCCATTTTTGACATTCATATCTGTCATAATTCGTTTCATCAAATGTTTCGCAAAATAATAATGATCATCCATGATAATTTATTTTGTCCATCAGTGTCCAATTATTTCAAATTTCCAGCAGCATTATTGTCGGAATCATTAAAAAATTGTGGCAAGATTAATTTAAAAATTTAAACAAAACTTTTTTTAAGGTTATGTTGGTACGCTTCTCTGTCGCCGTGAAGAAATCCAAACTTTCGATACGAACCTCGACTTATAGTCGAATGATCCTAGTAGTCATTGCCAGTTTGCAGTATAAATAATAAAAAAAACTAGACTTAAGTATGTACACGCAATAAATATAACAGTTGAAAAGATCACACTCTGACCAGAGATTTTGGCCAAGGTTATTGCGAACATACAAATCCATTTTTATTATTACATATGTGCTTTTGAGGATTTTTTCTTTACGTTTTCGTGTATTTTGGTGGTTTTTTGAACCATTTTTCGCGTTGGATGGAGAATATAAAAAATTGATTCCTCACGAACCGCAAATTTAAGAAATGCTTTGTGCAACCAGTACTTATTTTGGCTTTTCACTTTAATATAATATGACGAAAATATCTCTGAATATTCAATGGTCAGCATGGATCAAAGATATTATATCCAAAAGACCCTTTTACATCCTACATCCATAGAATTTGCACGTCAAATTTGGTAGTTTGCTGTTGGTGATTTTGCGATTTGAGAAGTGTTTGTGCCTAAATATTGATTAAACAGTTATCTAAAATGGTTTTTCCATTACTTAATGTGTGGAATAATCAGTTAAGATCATACTAACTTGTCGTAGGTAAGCTTTCACCTGTAGTGATGTCGCACAGCTTTGACTTTGGATCATGGAACGTCCGTTCTGTTCTGGAAGAATGGGAACCAAACTATTCATAACTATTTACGTCGACTATTTGCATGTCCAATGGATTATAAATCAATGGCAAAATTCAAAATCTCCATCGCTTTAAATATTGTTGTGTTTAGAGAACATTAAATATCGTCATGACAGGACGCCACTGACACATAAATAAGTTTTGTCTGAAGGAGAAAAATAATCGTGGACAGGCTGTAGCACCTTAGCTGGTTCACACTCAAATCAATATATTGGGGGTCAATTTAATTGCAACAGCGAAATCGACGAATATTCTTGAAACGGGCTTGAAAATAAGGTTTCCTTGAATTGACGCCGTGTCACGGATAGATAAGGCGCGAATGTGTATGTGTGTACTTTGCGACGATAACGACGATTAAGATCGTGTAACCTGTAGCGTCTCCGATGTCAATGTTTGTGTGTTTTGTGCGCCCGCCCGTGGTACAAAAGCCTCGCTTTAGCTTTGTTGTGTCGTGTGGGGCAGCCCTTAGCCTCGCCCGTCGTTCCCCATAATCATCCCGGTTTTCTTGCGTTCCCGTAGACTTTAAAAGCATGAACGAGGATTCGCGCCAGCGTCTCCATCATCACCACCATCAGCAGCAACAGCAGGAAGCGGCGGTTAAAAAGCGCGCGCTCGACACGTGGACCTTCGACCCGTCGGACATCGGCATCAAAATGCTGAAAGATCGACGCGAGAAGATCACCAACGCCGGGAAGTACTCGGAGCGTTATCGGGACGCGTTCGCCCACGACGTCAAAGAGGAAAAGTACCCGTTGACGAGTAAATGCCGCGAGGCGCTCGAGCACCACCGTCAGTCAGCCAAAGGCGATCGGGAAAGCCCCACGTTGGCCACCGGCATGGTGCTCGCGTCCAGAGCGTCACCGAGCAACGCCACCAACGACCTAAACAAGAACCAAAACGCCCTGATCGGGTACAAACCAGTACCGGACGGTTCGATAAAGAGCCCGCCGCTGACGTCTCCGGTCACGTCGCCTATCGGCACCCCCAAATCCACAAAGTGGCCGAAGAAAAGCAAAGATGTGAATATTTACAGCGTCACACCCGCCACCAACGATGCCGTCGAATCCCAGCCTAAGCCACGGCAGGTGGCACTCAACTTGATATTGAATAGTAACCAACAGAACGACAGCACGATGTCGCACCTGCTCCAGGTAGAGGACATCATCTCCAAGCTGAACGAGAAGGAAAAGAAGGAGGTGAACCTGCGCAAGTTCGACGAGCTCGTCAAAAAGGTTATATTGGGAGGAGACGCTAAGGCCGCCAAGAAACCGGCGACGGCGGCGGAGGGGCCGCCCGCGTCGGAACAGTCGCAGGACGCCCTTAAGTCACACGGTCACATTCTGAACCCGATCAAGCATTGTAACGAGATCGAGGATCTGCAGGCGAAGGGCTTGAGCGACGTCGAAACCGACATGGAACACGAAAGGCCCTTCAAGAGGCACGTGAAAGAGAGGAAGAGCATGGACCACCAGGCCGTAAAAGAGGCGAAGGCGTCCAGCAACGCCGCTGCGGCGCCTCTGAACAGGACTGCATCAGACGTTCAAGACAAGAACGCTGCTGCGTTGAAGCGGAAACCAAGACTGTCGCGGGAACGTAACAAGGTATACTGGCCGTTTTTTTGAGGCCACTCGGGTTCAAGGTTGCGTCAACCTTTAGAAAAAGTTTTATTTTCTCCAAGCCACAAGTTGTTGCGAAACTTTGAATTTCATCATTCTTCAAAAATCTTTCAATCCTTATTTTCTTAATTTTGAATGCAACCAATAATCAGAACTCATCGGCCGTAGAAACGATACGGTTTGTCGCGCGATTGGCGTAATTTGGGTAATTAAAGATGTCGCAAAATTTGTGAGTTAATTTTAATCGACAACTTGGGCAAGCAAGCGAAATATATCAGCAGGTCTTGCTTCATTGAAATATCGTTTCGTACGAAGGTGACACCGTTCTTATCTAATCGCCCGTCTTGCGTTATCGTTTTTGGAAAATATCGCATTATTAAAAATAAACGTATTTACACGAGCTCGGAAATGTAACGAGCATCGCGAAGATCTCCTCGCTCCGATATCATATTTATTAAACGCTCGTCATCGCCTCCGAAACATTTGCTTTGGCAATTAAAGCTGCGACACCGAGTGTCAACATTCTATTAGAACGTGTTAATTCCGCTCGATCGTAAGGCTACGAAAGTACAAATCGACGTACACAGGGTGTTATCAAAATGCCGTTGAAACTAACCAAAACTCTTGTCTGAAAATCCGAGCGCGCTAATTTGGGACGCCCTGTATTACACACGATGTGCGTGACACATTTTCGTCCATATTCATTTAATAAATATTAATTCGGCATTAACATTTGCGTCGGACGTAGGCTTTGTTTTTCTTAAGGAATGCGGTATGTTATCTATACGCAAGCGATCCTTATTGTGTTTTGCGCTGCTGCGCCGACATGTTAGTCCGAACCACAGAATAGCCAAAGTCGGCCGATGAAACCACAGAAACGCCTCTGCACCGGCGCGCGACGTCTATTTTCATTTCCTTCCCCTCTCCCTATATATAGAGCAATGACAGCACAACGGAATCCACGAGGAGTAGTTCGGCGTCGACGCGGAATAGGCCGAGGCTGGGTGACGAGCCGACCATCGGCAAGTACAAGCTTCTCAAGACGATCGGCAAAGGCAACTTCGCGAAGGTGAAATTGGCAAAACACGTGCCCACCGGCAAAGAGGTGGCGATCAAGATCATTGACAAGACGCAACTCACGCCCGGCTCGCTGCAAAAGCTGTTTAGGGAAGTAAGTATATTATTTTCATGAAATCGTATCTCGAGACCTCAAGGACCAAGGGCAAGTTATCTTTTTCACTTGGTTTTGTGCACATAGAAGTTGTACGAACTCGAACGATTTGTAAATATGAGAATAAAAATAATACTAGATACTGAAAAAAAAAACATACATCAATTATGTTATGTTGTCCCGAAAATGTCATCATAGAAACACTAAACATTTCACTTTTCAAACAGATTTCACTCTCACCTGTACCTTGAAGAAGCAAAAATTTTATTCTTTATTTACACCAAAAAGTTCATGGTCAAAAGAAAAATTCGAACCAAATAAACAGTAGAGCATCACCATTACTGTGTTCCCAATATACCTTCGACGGTTAAGTCATTTCTCCAGTTCGGCGTTGCCATATCCAACAGACTTAGGAAGTAATTTTCCCTAAAAATACGTCTGATGGTACTCAAAATTGACTCAGCTGCGTTCATTTTCTGTGTTGCTAGAGAAAGCTGTTCCTATAGCAAGCACGGTATAAGACATTAACTACTTGCCTTTTTTAACGTCACACGGAGCCCCACCCGGTTCTGTGCTAGACCTGCCTTATTCTTCGTTTACCACTTTTGTGTCTGTGTGTGAATTTTTCCCGCTAATTCTGTTTGCCGATAAGACAGAATCCTTAGAACAAAAAAGAATTACAGATTTCTAAGGAAATAAAAGCCGATATAAAGGTCTTTGGTTAACCGTGCTTTGATTTGTATTTTACGTGTGGTTGTTAAGTAAGATTACCAAATTGCGCCACAAAATGCCTTATTAGCTGCGTTGGCGTTAATCATTTAGCGAGAATCACGAACGGAAACATTGAACTTGAATTAGCATTTCAATGTCTAATGGCGATCGAGTTGTTTTCGTCAATTAAGGCAGTGGCGTTACGTCACAAACAGATTACTTTCGCGTCTGTCCGAGTTCTTCGCGTTTCCCGTTTCGTATTGGTGTATTTCGTCATCAGAAAATTGGAAAGGGGTAATTGAGTAATTAACACATCTGCGTCGAGTGTATAAGGACACGCAATTCTTTTATCTGCGTGGACCACAAGTATTCGTTTGACTAGCGAGAGATATCACCTTTAAAGTTGTCTGTCTAAGTAGGTCTTTTTATGAGCTCCCGAAAAGACGAAGGTGTGGTCAGTGTTCCATTATTTGCCATTTCTCATTTGGCCTCGACCTTTCTACATATCCGCTACTTTTCCCCAAAACATTTCCAAGATCAATTATCGTGGAGAATCTACAAAGCTTGAGGTGATCTCGTACTAACCAAGATCGGGTTTCAGGTAAGGATAATGAAGATGCTGGACCATCCGAACATCGTGAAGCTTTTCCAAGTGATAGAAACGGAGAAAACTTTGTACCTGGTGATGGAGTACGCCTCGGGAGGCGAGGTCTTCGACTACCTCGTGCTTCACGGTCGCATGAAAGAGAAAGAGGCGCGGGCAAAGTTCAGGCAGATCGTTTCCGCAGTGCAGTACTGTCATCAAAAGAGAATTATCCATAGGTACCGGGAATAAAATGTCTAAAAATCGGCAGCCACCGTAAAATTTAGGATGGAGAACCAATTACCTCCTCAATCTGTGGAAGGGATAACAATGGTCTTTCCATATTTAATTATTTCACAAACTGAGCACAGTTGCGTTTTTAGAAATATCTGAATTAACAAATGACAATCTCTAATATGGATCTATGCATCAAGATAAAATCAAAAGTCAAGTCAATCAGTTGACGTTCTCTTCAAACAAATTATGTTATTATTATTAATTTGTGTCACTTATTAAATAAGTTAATGTCTGACGTAAATGCTTGTACATTTCCGAGGGTATATTTTGTAATCTATTTATAGCTCGAATAATTAATTGTAAATGTGGCAATGGCATTTACGTCGATTACATAAACATTATGGTTCGGCTTGGCCCCCTCCTCGTGGACTTCATTAGGCGTTTCTTTGCTCTACAAAACCATCAATCCCCGAATTTTGCTTTTGGTTTCGAAGCGTATTAGTCATGACATGTAGTTATCCGCCAATTGAGCTTGTTTAGAAAGTGTTACTAAAATAGTAGATTAATTCATTTCACTAATATTGTTAGACTCTTCGTATTTTCCGCTTCAACGTTAACAAAATTGTTAAAGAATCGTAATATCTTCTAAATAAAAATTTTACATGAGACAAAAAAGTTAACAACACTAACACTAACTAGAAAAAATTAACTTCGCTTTCGCAAGAAAAAATTTTTAGTCAAAGGATGAAATCCTGTCTTTTTCATTGCATTGAGTTAGTTGGTAAAAATGTATTTTTTCTGACAGCATTGATTTTTATTTTATGTTTAGTTTAATGTCAGTAGGAATCATTGTAGGTATTGTAGGACTGTAGAAAATACAGTGACCCCGTTAGAAAGAGATTAAAGTTGATAAAACTTCTTCGAAGATTTTAATTAGGATTGGGTTACAACGGGAACCCTTTAAAATCGGTTTGAACGTTTTTTTCCGATTTTGAATCCGCAAAAAATATCCATCGGTTATTGTTTGAGCCGCAACATTAACATCCGTTTATGTTTGCAGAGACTTAAAGGCTGAAAATTTGTTGTTGGACAGCGAGATGAATATAAAAATAGCTGACTTTGGTTTCTCGAACGAGTTTACCCCCGGGAATAAGTTGGACACGTTCTGCGGTAGTCCGCCATACGCCGCCCCCGAACTATTCCAAGTAAATAAATGCCCCTCGTTTTCGGACGTTATCGTACTAAAAGTGTATGTGTAGGGTAAGAAATACGACGGACCCGAAGTGGACGTATGGTCGCTGGGCGTCATCCTGTACACCCTGGTGTCGGGCAGTTTGCCGTTTGACGGGTCGACCCTCAGGGAGCTGAGGGAGCGCGTTTTACGCGGCAAGTATCGGATCCCGTTTTACATGAGCACCGACTGCGAGAACCTGCTGAAGAAGTTCCTGGTGCTCAATCCGGCGAAACGCGCGAGCCTCGAAACGATCATGAAGGACAAGTGGATGAACCAGGGGTATGTGGGGTTAGTTTTTAATCAGATACTCAATATGTACTGTGTTGTGGTGGAGTAGTGGGCCGAAACGAACGCTCTCGACGGTTTACGGTATCTATGAATTTTTTTCTCTCGTATTTAGTTTAGAGACATGTTGTGTGTTTTGCATGAAGACGGTAACTCGGCTCTGCTTCTTCGTGGGAGTGGGGAGGGATCGTTTCTAGGTCGATGGTCTGCACCTTCCACGTCGTTAGGACGATCAGTTTTTTGTTACAGATTTGACCTCAACTTGATGAACGCCTATGTCGTCAACATTGTCTCATATAGATTGTCGGTCAGACGACCAAGCAATCTAGCTAGTACAAGTTAAGGTCAAACTCAACAAGTGTCACCAATAGAATATCACCATTTTTCACCTTAAGCTCCCCAACTGTTAGGTTGCATATTGACGGGTTACAAAGTTTACAATACAATACAATACCTTTTGATTAGGTCGCCATAGTGGTGAAAAGTTTGGTGTCAAAATAAATGGACTCCTCCCCCCCGCCCCTAAACCTTAGCGCTTCTGTACAAAATATTTAAATGGAAGTAATCATCATGATATTTAAAAATAATTATGTAATAGTTGTCAGGTTGTATAATTTTCGTTAACATATTTAGTTTGTTTTCTGTTATACTTTGCTATGGAGACTAATTTTTCGAAGCAGACTTGAACGTAGAAATTTGATGGTTGGTGTTAGGTGTTGACGTTGTTTACTCTAAATACGCCGGCGCGTTTCTAATTCCCGATCCCTTACAGGTACGAGAACGACGAACTGAAACCGTACGTTGAGCCCGAGCAAGACATGAACGATCCTAAAAGGATCGAGGCACTCGTCTGTCTGGGCTTCAATCGGTACGACGTCGAAAACTCGCTAGACTCGCAGAAGTACGACGACGCTTACGCCACTTACCTCCTGCTGGGAAGAAAAAGTACCGACGTGAGCAAAAAATATCGCTCGTCAGCGTTCGAGTTTGTCCAACGAGCGGATTGTTTGTTGCAGCCGGAGAGCGACGGTAGCCGTAGCGGCAGCAGCCTATCTCTCAGGACCATGACGGGCGGACAGCCGCAGGTCGGCGCTCCGCAGCCGACTGCGCAGAGTCCCTCGCACAGGGGTGTGCATCGATCGATCTCCGCCACCCATGCCAAACCAAACAGGAGAGCGTCGAGCGGCGGTAAGTCGCTTGCCCTTTTTCTAGGTGCACGAGACGTTCACAATTTTCTTTGTAAATATTTTGAACTAGACAAATTGAGGTGGTAAGTCTTCCGCCTGTAAAATTTTTGTCAGAAAAAAAACGAGCGATGATGGCGTGCAAATAAATGACACTCTGTGGGGTACATGGTTTAGATAGAATTTCACCTAAATTTTAGGAATTCCGTTTGATTTTCAAGCAATTCCGTGGGATTCAGTAGGAATTGCATAGGATTTTAACGAATTCTATGGGGTACATTGAGGATTCCATGGGGCAAGGTGGAATTCTGTGTAAATTCTAGGAATTTCATGAGATTTTGAAGCAATTCCGTGGGATTCAGTAGAAATCACATAATAGTATTTAAAGCAATTCTATAGAGTACTTTCAGGATTCCATTGGGTTAGGTGAAATTCCCTGTATATTTTAGGAATACCTTGCGATTTTAACGCAATTCCGTGTAATATCCGCGGGATTCCGCATGAATTATATGGGATTTAAAGGAATCCTGGGGAGTTGCTGTAGGATTACGTGGCGTTAGGTGGAATTCCATGTAAATTTTAAGAATTTTATACTATCCTCACGCAAATTCTCTTTGGTATTTTGATGGGATTCAGTAAGAATTACACGGGATTTCGAGAAATTTTGTGGGATATCTATGGGATTCATGCGATAAGATGGAATTAATTGAAAGCTTAGGGATTCCATGGAAATTTTGCAGAATTCTGGTGTACAAATTTTAGTTGGTTATTTACCCCTCAGAGAAAAGAAAACTTTTGTTGTTTCAGCAAAACAAAGACGCTGTTCCCGAAATAGTAATTGTTCAATAATCTGTAACCAAAAAGGTTCTGTGGACTATTTGTAGTTTATTTTTTAATATGTACTGTCTCCTTCCTTTACTGATCTCATTTATTTTCTTTGCAGGTGGACCTATCGGTTAGTATTCAAAGTGACTGGTTTGCGGTTTGTGTCGATTAGGTTGTTTGGTTACGATTCACGCGTTGCGTTGTTATTTTAGCAGAGACTTTGAGGACGGGGGCGCAACCGCAGGTGGCCGCCGCCCAAACCAACAACCACCAGTCGGGTTTCAAGCGACAGAACACCATCGATGGGCCTACGATCAAGGAAAACACGGCACGTCTGAACGCGCGTCCAGCCAGCGCCCAACCAAAAACTACCACCGAGAACAGTGAGTTCTGACACGCTGACTTGTCCGTTTTTTCCCGTTTTTTCATTTTGTCCTTTTCCATTTCTCCCGCGAATTAGGTATACAAGTGCCGGCCAAAGCTAGAACCGTTTCTAAGAACACGACGCTGTCTTTGGGGACGACGGTGGGCCGTCGGTCCACCATCAGCTACGACGGCAAGTCGGAGAGCACGGAAAAGACCAACTTGGCGGTCGATCTTCCCGGGTAAGTCCTCCGATTTGGGAAAGGTCCTATCGAAAAGCTTTTTTTCAACGCACCGCGTAGATTATGATTTCGGGATGCAGCGGAATTCGCGGTGGTAAAAGTGGTTCAATGTGATAATCTGTTAGTTGAAACAACACTAGATTGATACTGTCGTCCTTTCGCCCAATATTCTACGTTGCGTCATCATTAACTGCAGACACGCGCTATCCTTCTCATCCGACTTAAGTAGGGCATAGACTGTACTGCCGCCTAACGGTTTGCGACATGCGTCTATTCAGGGAAGTTATCTATATACTTTTCCAGCGTAGGGTAGGATAGGAGAGAACCCTAGGTAAGGCAATGCCATATCAAATTATATTAGGGTGTCATCTGTGTTCCTCATGGTGGTGATTGTTCACACCCCTCTTTAGTATTTCGTATTAACGATATTGTTGATTGCTTTGAAAATACAACATTTTTGTTGCTGGCAACGTAAAGTTTACTTACGTCCTTTACTGATCCAAACTTACATTGGAGGAGAATTAATTGATTTTATAACATTTTGGACTTAGTGATATGTAGGTACTATATTAGTTATTTTGTATATTTTATTTGGAAATTATGTAATTACATGTCAAGAAACTGATTGGGAATTGGGAATTAAGTTGATATACTTTACGACGTTGCATGAAAATGAGCGCTGAAAGATTGCGGTGTTGTGATGTGGCATAGTTAGTTTGAAATTATTTCTAATATTAATATTGTGGACAGTGTTACGAAATATTAAGCGATTTTTTATGGAAACTGGCTCATTAGGATTATTTATTACATTAAACAAAAATATCGAGAAGTTTAGGATTCTGCGCTCATTCATTTTGAGCCATTTTATATCATTGTATAATGTACATGATCAAGTTTCCTCAAACCATAAATACAAACTTAATGCATGCATTCTGCACTATCTGCACACACTTCTTACTTTCCTGATCCAAACAAAAACCATAGACACAGTCACCAGGATCAGAAATTCACACAAATTTCGTTTCAGTTGTTTACTTAAAACATGTCTATTATTAGATAAAACTTTCATGGAGGCAAAGGATTTTTGAAATGTATTTTTAGGTGCTCTTGTCACAATATTTAAAATTTAATTTTGAGTGCTGATCACTATATTTAATTTCTTCTTCAAGGAAGTCAAAATTCTCATTATTTTGAAACATCATAGCACATGATTAAGTTTTAAGTTGTGGTTTTGAGATATCTGATTTAAAGTTTGAATGTCATCATTAATGTATGTTTCAAATTCTTTATAATTGCCAGCGCTGAAGCTACAATAAATTTGTGTGTCATCCGCAAAGGCTTGAGTTTTACAGAATTTTAATGATCTCAAAATATCAGAAGTATAAATAACGAAAAGCAATGGGCCTAAGGGACACCGGATAGAAACTCTACCTTCTCCGAGTAATAGTTATCTATGATTTACAAGATTAGAAGATTCAACATTGAAACCATAGTATCGTAGTTTATCATTCAACAGCTCGTGATTAATTGTATCAAATGCCTTCGAAAATCCTAAAAGCACTAAAACAGAACTCAATTTATTATCACAAGCTTGAAGAATGTCGTCCAAAACATTAGTTAAAAAGCTATAGACGTACCAAACCCTTCTTCGACTAGGCAGGCAAAATATTTATGATACGAATGGTCATTCAAATTTAAGGATTTGATGTTTTAGGTAGCGGTTTACCAAGAGAAATTTTCAATTGGACTGATAAATAGCTAGTTTCAATGCAGGAATTTATGATGTGCTTAATTTATTTATCAATAAGAGGGCTGCATTATTTTGACATAAGTAGGGATAGGTGGCGGTAGTATTAATATTATTAAGAATTTTGTTAACTGTGGATTGAAATTGTTTTTATAGAAATTGTTATTATGAAAGTTTATTCTTGCTGGACAGTCTGACTTATTTTGTAGGTATGTTGAAAAAAAGTTATTAATTTCATTAGGTTCTGATACATGTTGTAGAATTACGTTATTTTTTGTGGCGTATGTATTGAAATTTTTTTGAGCAGACCACGTTTCTTGGAATGGTTTTATTATTTATTTATGTGTTCATGAAATTTGAGATGAAATCGCACCTTTGCGTTACCATTTCATAGCACTAATTATGCTTATTATTCTCATTTTAAATAATAGTAAAATTGAAAATTTAAGCCTGTTCTTGTCGGCAGTTTAAAACGCAAATCAGGGAAATAATTTGATTTCATTCGGTAAAATGTAGTTAGTAATTTGTCTTAAGAGTCTCCATTATCTTTAATGTACTATTTTTGTTTTGTAATGACGTTGATCCCGGTTATAAATAAATAAATCAATTGTAATGTCCGTGCTTGCATCAGAAATTGATGACGCAAGGTAAAACATTGGAATCTTATTTACTCGGTTATTACTATTCGGTTCATACTGTTTATACACCTAGCTCTTCCAATTGCACCGCCACCAAGGGCATTTGGGATAACAAATAATTTCTCTCCATTATCTTCTTATATCGGGTTACTAATGGTAGTTTGGGCACTAACTTGAATTGCAGTAGTGCGGCGAAAGTTCAGTTACTGCACGCATAAAAAATATTTCATTTTCAACTAAATTTAAGCATACAAAAAATAATCTGTAGCCCTTTGTTCGATCGCTGAATTCTCGCCGCAGTAGAGATTAACAGTGTGACCACCACCGTAGGAAATTATACGCAAGATTCCTAATTTGCTGGCCGCGAATTGCGTAAAATTTCGAATCCACGTAATACGTTCCTAGCCCCGCCCACTTCCGATCCGTCCCACACCGAAAGTATAACTGTATTTTGTCGCTAATCGCATGTGCAGCACCGAATCCTCCGCTACGGGTGACGTCTTGAGGCCCGGCAAGGGTCACATCAAGTCGGCTTCGGTCAGTAGCGGCGGCCCCGAGACCGCCGCCAACGATCCCCTGCGCACTAGGTAGGTTGTCGTCGGTAGAGCTCTGGCCACGAGAATACCATTCGCATAGAGACACGTTTTGGACGCTTTGGTTTCACCCCGTAAGAATACAAGGTGTCTGATGTACATTTTTCAGAAAAATAGTTTTTAATAGACGCCCCTTGCGTCCGGAATAGCGAGAAGTCTTTAGTATTGAAGTGAAAGTCGGAATGTACATCGGCATCGCTGTATGTAATGCTTTTGTTCGTTTCATGGCTAATCCACAAGCATCATGCAACAATCTTAACCTTACATTTTAAAATATCATTTTGAGTATTGTAAGCATTTTCAGAGTGTGTTTTGGCAAAAAAAGAAATATCTAAGAACAGCTCGGTAACGTCTTTTCCTAAAGTTTGTCTTTGTATAGTCGTACGAGCGCGTCTCCTGCGGCGACCAGACAGCAGGCATTCCCGAGGAACACGTCAGCGAGGAGCACCTTCCACTCGGGTCAGACGAGGCCGCGGGCGCAGTACACGCAAGGCGCGCCCGGTGACTCGCCCCACACTAGGCCCGGTTTTTTTGCAAAGTTTAGCCTCAAGAGTTTTACGAAAAGGTAAGACGCTTCAGCACCGTTGCTATTTTCCTGCCGAATCGGCTCGGCTTTTTTTCCGTCTATTTTTTTTGCAAACCAAAATCACACCCGCAGCGGTCCAGCGGTCATACTCGGAACGTAAAAGGGGTGGGGATTAGTATGACAGCAGTCGCTGTATTTACCGGGCTAAAAATCTCTGGACCCTTTGTATCTGCGGTTTAATTAGGGCATGATATATGTCTAATGACCGAAATTTTGTTGAGGTGACTTTCTACTCGACTGGGTCTATTTCCTTTGATGGAAAAAAAGCTGCGCTGTTTGTATCTGAGATGAGAATTAGGTTAGGCTCTCCGGTTATTGGGTTATTTATGTGTGGCTTTGCTTACTTTCCGCTTTTGTCATTTGCGCTGTTGCCAAGCGTTACATTTACTGTACAAACGTTTAGTTCAAAATGTGTGTCATAAACATATCCATCGGTTAAAGTGTTATTAATGGTTAATAAATTGTGAATCAATGTGCCGTTTGTAGTTAATGTTGCTCGAAACTCTGTATCATTATTGTTATACGGGGTGTAATTCTGAGAAACTACACAATGTTTATGTAAAGAAGCAGTGCTCATTACGCCGTGTAAGTTTTCTATTTTTTAATATTCTTTATTCGGGTTTATTGAACAAAAAAGGCCATAGAGGAAAGTGCTGTCAAACTGGGCTTATTGAAACCGTACAAGTCATACATTGCCCTGACTGAAACTAGAGGTATTGCTAATGCTGCGTGTAATGTCCCATGGCGACCATATATATATTTGTGTCTTAGTTTATTATGTACGTACTGTTTAACGTAACGCTTCGTAATGGCAGTCATGGCCTGGTCTCGTTTTTTGGGTTTTGCTATGTGTGCGCGGGTGGTTCGTCCCTTGAAACAAAAAAAAAGAAATTTCAATAAGAAAACACAATGTCAAAAGTTGTTTCTCGTTCAGGAATTAAATGGGGTCTCTTTTGAGGGACGGACCGACTGCGCAACCGTAAGCAAGCGTCCAACCCCCACGTCCCACCGTCAGGCCCCTCCCCCTTCTCGATGGATCAGCACGTATCGTGGAGGAAGCACATACGCACACGCGCAGAAGACTCGTCGATTTTTTTTTATATACTATAATTTTTGATATTAGTATTTTACGAGAGATATTTTGAAAAGTTCAATTCAAACAAAGAACTATCCCGTTATTATATTGTTTTTATTTTTTAAAATTTTAAATCGTAGGTTACTGAAAATTATTTGTATTTTATTCTTTTTTTTTTTGTTGATTCCGCCCGTCGGTTGACTCTAAATGTAAATACTATCCTTTACCAAAGTGTTCTAAAATTTATGATGTTTGTCCTATATATTGTTAAATAGATTTTTATTATTACATCGAAATGTTTGATTTTTCCGGTTGAAAGGGTGGTAGAATAAAGAAAAACTTCTAAGTATGACCTTTCGGGGAACGCAACGCATGGCATCGCGCACATTATTAGCTTTCACAATTGCTTTTCTTACTCCGTTACATTTGCCCTCTCCCCCACTCGGTTTTCGTTTGCGAATGGCGCAAAACCGATCCCCGTTTTTTATGTTTCTTATGGTTTTTCGACCTTTTATTTTCAGAGCATTAGAGCCAGGCCAACAAGTTAAACATGGCAACTCACCGTTACCTTCAGTAGGGTAAGTTTAGCCAGACGCTGAAAAAAACAGGAAACGACGTTCTTTACAAAAACGAAATAAAGATATTTACCCTTGTGGGTATGTGCAGGAGCCATGTTTTTGTTTCTCGTATTTTCCGTTTCGTTTTCTTTTGATGTTATTTTTTTTTTACTGGTAAGTCGCGCTCGAGTAGACAGATTGCTGAATTTTCGCTGGTGCAGTGTAGCAAAGTAGTTTGTAATCTCGCGTATAACTTTAAGTAGTGTATAATTCATTCGTCCTAGCCCAAGATCGCATTGATCACTAGTGATTCCTTTTTCCGCAGGCTCAGGTTTTAAACCTCGGTCACGTTTGTTTATCTTTTGTTTTCGTAAATCTCTTTTATCTCGTAATTTCTCTCTCTTTATTCCTTTCTCTCTGCCACTCTCCTTATCCTCTCCTTTTTTTCATCTCATAACTTGTTCGCTCTTTTACTCTTTAACGTCTTCTTTCATGGACTGAAGAGTGTTGCTTAAATATGAATCGTTATTGGCGTATCAGGTTATAATATAACAATATTAAAATTTTCTTAATTTTTATAAATAGTTAAACAAATTTGACACACTTTTAAAGATAATGTAAATCACAACTATTTTTTAAAACTTTCCAATAGCTTATACTAAACAGAAATGCATACAAGATCATAAGTACATCCGTATGTGACACACGTCTTCCATTTCAAATCGCCAAGGTCTTTGCAAACTTTACAGTATTGCAGTATTTTTGCTATTAGTCTTTGTATTTGCAATATCTTAATATATTTTTTCACTTGCAAAATCAATTTTCTAACTAAAAAGAAGCAAAAGCAGACGTTAACGTAAGTTCGTTGTAACATTGTTATTAAAGAAAATGTTAAAAAAGTACCATTTCTCATTTTTTGGATGATCTTTTAACGAGAAATTAACAAGAAATTTTTAAATGCATAAAAATATTTATATAAGCGTCACGTTAAAATGGAAATAATACCCTTTCCCAATAGCGGAGAAGCGAGAGATATCAGTAGTGATCAGTGATGCCGTGCTGGAAGAAATGAATATATACTTAAGACCTAAAAACGCTTATTTAATAACTTTTCATATTAAAATTACCCAAACAATAATTCCTCAAAGTTTCGCCACGCACTTAATCAACGCCCTGTACGCAGACAAAGCGAAAACGAAAGGTTCAACTTTAACTAATTTACGTCGTGTATGTTATTTATATTCGATAATAACCGTCACCACCCCTTCGACATTCTTGATTGCCCACTCAAAGTGTAAAATAGGTCGGCCGCGTACTTAAGCGGGCAATAATTAAAGGGTCGGCGGTGGAGGAGGCGGAGGCGGTGTCGGCGGAGGCGCGACCCAAAACGACGAACACGTGAAACCGCGATCGCTACGTTTCACGTGGTCGATGAAGACGACCTCCAGCCGCGATCCGGCCGAGATTATGGCGGAGATACGCAAGGTACTCGACGCGAACAACTGCGATTACGAGCAACGCGAACGGTTCCTGTTGCTGTGCGTGCACGGCGACCCGAACACCGACAGTCTGGTGCAGTGGGAAATTGAGGTGTGCAAACTGCCCAGACTCTCGCTCAACGGTGTACGATTCAAGAGGATTTCAGGTGAGCAACGATCACTATAACTTTGTTTCTAGGCCAAAGTTGTTTCTAACACCGGATCATTGTAAAAACAGTAGACTTATCTGGGTATGGACCTGCCTTAATTTTAAATGATAAGAGGCAGAAGAAAAGCCAGCCGACTCTTTTTAGGTTTGTGTTGGGTGTTTCTTGGGAATGGGGGTGCTGGTGGGGGGACCGGTCTGGTAGCATAAGGTATCATCAAAGACTTCACGTTCTTAACGACTCAATTAAAAAGAAAGTTTTACTGAAGATATGCCGATTTCTGGCCCAATTTGAACGCCCGAAAATAGACTTCGACATATAGGTGAATTGTCCCATCAAAATTTCACGTTTTGCTTGATTTTTGAAACAGCGCCACTATAACTCGAATCAGCGTATTAGTTAATCGCTTGCACACTAGCATTTGCAACATTTAAATCAGAAGGGGAAAGTTCCACATATCTCGCCCGTCCATTAGTGCGTAATAAAATGAAACAGAAGTAGACAAAAAAAATTGCTAGTTTTTAAGCGCGCTTGTTGTATTCAGAATATAGAAATAGCGGTAGTTTTTACAACGGTTTTTAGGACTATAATAACATGCTATATTTGTGTTAGGAGCTGTTCAAGTTTTCATTCAATTATCAACGGCAAACTTGAAATGTGGGATACAATTCACACTATTACTATAACACGCAAGTTATAAGTCTAAATAATTAATAAAGGCTTCTCGTAAATTGACCGATAACTAAACGCAAATTGCTGGATATGAAGGGCTGTGAATACATTCCATCCTATGTTTTTGTTATGTTCTTAATCTGTCATCCACTAGCAACTAAAACCACTTCCGAATGAATAATTGTTTTATTGTAGAACCAAAGACACCTCCATACCGCTTCGGTTCTAGGCACTAAGGAAGTCGACAGCAGCTAACGTACTGAATTTCTTATACCCTTAATAGTCTGGGAAATACTTTCTCTGCTTGGTCCCACATATTTCTTTTTAGTTTTTATGCATCCCCTTGGTGTGACATGTTTTAGCATGTTTCTCTTTCTTTTTTATTAATTGCTTAACTGTTCAGTATGCTGAGAACATTCTTTATATAATATACAATAATTGTAGGTTTGAGTGAGGAAGTACTCACCTGTACCTTTTGCAATATGTTCTTGTAATATGTTCATAATATTTAACTCGTTCCATTTCTAATTTTAATACTTACAAAAAAAAGTAATAATAAATGCTCATAAACTGCATTAAATATTCAACAATAATTAAAAGTCAACTAACCCTGTAAACTGAATTGTAGTTCGGTTCCAACCGTATTTTTCCAATATTCGCCGCGGCGTTGGTCTTTTTAGTGTGATTTTCATTAAATGTCAGTGTGTCACGTATATCTTGACGTATTTTCATTATGTTCAGGCACTAGCATCGGTTTCAAGAATATTGCTAGCAAAATAGCGAACGAACTAAAACTGTGACTGCTCGTCAAGGAGACGGACACGGATAGCAGCGAGCCGCCGACCTAGTACGAGAGGAGGATATGAATTTCTAGACGCGCGTGCGCGCGCGCGCCCCAAGTTTGTCGAATAAATAATAAAAACAAAGTCACGCCGTTAATAAAATACAGAATAAGAACAAAGTTTCGTCGTTAAGGATGGTGCAACAATAATAACGAGGCTTGTGATACGCGCAAACCGGTCAGTGTCGGAGATGAACTTTGTTCGTTTTGAAAAAAAATGTCAATTTCTCGATGGACGGTTACCAAGAGCTCGATGGGCGTGGCCGACGCGGCACAGTGTCGTTTCCTCAATTCAAATGTACATAAATGTGTGTGAAAGTAGCGCGCGTGAGATCCTGAATGTACTAGAAGTAAACAAATATATATATATATAAATAATAGTTTTTAACAAATTTGCCACATCTACATGTTTTTTTTTTCGTTTCAGCCTTTCAATCACTAATTTATTGAATAAATCACTTTTTTTTAAGTACATGTGGCCCGGCGGTCGGGGCAACTATAGATCGGTCGGGTCGAACCCATTCCGCTTTTTTTTGTAAATACGCGCTTCGCCCCTTTCGCCTACGTCTAGATCGCTCTTTTCTACCGGAATCCCGAATTTTTCGCAGACGGATCTACAGTTGCGCCCCCCGCTGCGTAGTGAATCGCGCTAGAAAATAAAAAAAAACCATTCGTTCGGTGGTTTAGATCGAATCATCATCTCTGTATAATAAATATTTAAATAATACATCCGGATTTTATCGAGATCATGAGTGTACTTACTGAATAGCATCCTGTTAAAAAATATGATATAAAAAACGAAAATATAAGTCGGGCTTCGCCGATCGGACACCGCGTCAGTTTCCCGTTATTTTCTTTTTATACCTAAATTATGATTATCGCGTTTTTGACAAAACTAAAAGCGCGAGCCGGTCGGCGAGGCGGATGGATCCCTTCCATTGAATTTATATGATAACTTAGACCCTACGGTAAAATCGTAATTGTTAGTACAGTTTAGGTATAGACCGCTGTAAAGGGCAATCTTGCTTTACATTTAAAACAAAAAAAATCAATTCTTTCACCGGGGATGGGCACTTATGTTAGTTATGCTATTGATCATTTATAATAAATATGATACCGAAGGTGTTTTATTTTTTTTAACCTACCTGCGCGTTGGAAGGTTAAACAGAAAATTAATCCCAGAAAAAGTCGTTACATTTTTCTAATTTACCTTGTCATTCCGAATTATCAAAATAATGTGATGACTGGTATCGCTTGTTAAGTTTAGTTTTAAGATTTCTCATAATTTCTATTGTTTTGCGATATTTGTTTACTTTTGGCAGCATATTGACTGTTGACTCTTGTATGTTTTCTCAGCAAGAATAAATGTAGTCTCTCGTAATATTAGAAAGATGAGAATATTTATGGTTATACTTTTCTTTATAGGAAAGTTTCTAATTTTGATCTTTAGTGCTGTGCCACAAATTTATTAAGCCACTAAAACTATTTGGACCTAAACCTGAAAAAATAAAGAAAAGTCACATTTTTCTAATTTACCTTATCATTCCGTATTATCAAAATAATGTGATAACCATGGCGCCTTCCAAATTCACAATCCTCTCTAGAGATCTTGAGACCTTCCCTCTAGAGTGTTGCTGCGTTGTATTAACACCCTTCCACAGAATTGTATAAGTTACTTAGATCCCAAGGGCAAATCTTCACTATCGCTTATTAAGTTTAGTTTAAAGATTTCTCAAAATTCCTATTGTTTGAGAGATTTGTTTTCTTTTGGCTACCTCTTGTTATAGTCAATGTACTTTTTCTCAGCAACAATAAATGTATTTTCTCTTGTAATATTAGAAAGATAAAAATGTTTATGGTTATACTTTTGATTATATTCGATCTCTAGTGCTGTGCCACAAATGGAACATTCTTTTGTTTCTAATTCTACTAATCCCACTTCTGATATGTTAAATTGATGCAACAATATTTAATAAGCCAACAAAGAAACTCGCACGCTTACGAATCATTTATTATTAAAGCACTAAACATATTTTGACTTTAAACCTGCAAAAACGATGATGATGATTTTTTTAGGGGGAGAAATTTTTTTAAAAAAGATGTACATTTTTATATATTTATTTGATAAAAAATATTTTAGGGTATCTGGGTACATTTAATCCCTTTTTACTGGTGGCAATCAAATTGTTCTATACACAACTACTGAAAAACATTTGAATGGTACCAGATAAAAAAAGGCGCCGATTTCAACTTAAACTTATATCTAAAAACAATTGCCTTCCAAACCATTATTAAACCAAACCCAGTTATCAGGATTGGTTAACCTGTGGCCTATAAGAACCGACTACTACGGCATGGTCCCTCTCGTAGGGTTCAAGAGTAATTTGCTCTATGGGTTTCAGCTTGTCCGCTTGCAACTTTCGCACCTCAGAAGCAAAGACTGCCTCGGGTTGAGCAGTAGAGTCTATGCAAGAGGCTTTTATTGAAATGACAAAATGTCCACCATTCTTAAGGAAGTACTGTGCATTCAAAGCTACGATCCTGGCCTGATCGGGCTGCGCAACGTCCGCGAAAATTGTATCGACCATGCCGACCAGCATTCTGTACTTTAGCGGATGCCTGGCGTCTTCAATTATGGGAATAATATTGGTGCGTTTCTTAGCTACATTCAGAAGGTCCCGGCCAGATCTGTGAGAAAACTCTACAGCATAGACCAAGCCCTCGGGTCCTACAATGTCTGAAACATGTGATACGGTGGTGCCCGAGGCTGCTCCAAGGTACAGAACGCTGCAACCTGGAGGCATGTGAATTTGGTCCACTCCTCCAAGAATTGCAGCAGCCAGTTTGCTTCTAAAAGGGTTCCACACTCTATATTCAACTTTATTACCCTCAGTCTGGAAAGGAAATTTAGATGTCAATTAATTAAGGTATAAACTGTGACACCCAGAAGCATAAAAAAAATTACACCAACCTCAACAGATATTCTCTTCTCTCCATATACTTCAGAACCCGGCACTAAGTTTAAAGTAATCAATACATCTTCCTTTCCTCTAGCTATGAAAACTCCAGGATGCCTATGTGGCTCAACGACAACTGTTTTCCCACCCTTGAAGCCACCTCCCCCTCGCCCTCCGCGACCCCCTCGACCTCCTCTGCCACCCGCACCCCCTCGCCCGCCGCCCCCACCACGACTTCCTCCAAAACCGCCTCTGCCTAAAAAATTTAAATTAGAAAAAAATAATAAGATGTATGTGGAGTACCTCTGCCTCCGCCAAATCCACCCCCGCGTCCTCCTCTCCCACCATCTCCGCCGCCTCTACCACCTCGAAACCCACCACCGCCTCTTCCTCCGCCACCACCAAAACTATTGCGTCCACCTCCACCGCCACCACGATTTCCTGGCGAAAAACCTAAAAGATCATGAATCAGAATTTAATAACATAAAACCAAATTTGTAATTTAATATAATAACAATTAATACCAGGCCTACCCATTCTAGAATCAATTTAAATTAACACAAGCCTAAACGCAGATAAACGCACGTGCGGCGTTTCAACAATCAGTAAGAAGCCTAACCTATCAAGTTTGAATAGGTTAGATTATCTATGCTCTTCTTCAGTTACTACTTTTAAAAGAATGCAAAATCAAACCGACCCAATTGAAATACCGAATAATTAATTTTTTCTTGACTTGCTTTGGTCTAGAATGGATTTTAATCCTATACAAGAGGCATGATTGTGGAAACTTCAAAATTATATTGGAACCACTTAAAGCCCCGCAGAAACGATGCTATTTATTCATTAAATATTGCATCTTGTCCACTACCGAATTGCAAAAAAATGTGTAAATATAAAAAAAAATTCTATTAGCAAAATTCAACCAAAATAATCAAGCACATTTTGCTCGAAAAAATTACATCACGTCTATTACTAAAAAATGACAAGTTAAAAGCCGTTTTTTTGAAGCGATCGAATTTCTCACAAAACCGTAATTTTTAATTCAAAATAATGTTAAAAATACTTTAATAAATGAAATTTGCAATTAACAACTTGGCATGGTTTGGTCCATCTATTTTGTCCCCACTTGACTCATCGTATTCGAAAAGAAGATGACTTAACGGAAATTGACATTTTGTTAAACGTCAAATTTTTCTTTTTAGCCGTCAGAGGTTACGGATATTCTAAACAAAAATGGTGGGTCAAATAAATCCGTTTATTTCTAAATAATCTTAATATTTATTTACGTATTTATGTATAAATATGATACCAAACAAAATAATTTTTTGCAACTTGTTAGTCTTTTTATTTAATGCGCGGTTTTTAAAGTGAATATGGTGATGTTTTGATTTTAGATATAGGTTAAGTCCTTTCTTAAAGCAAAAGTTTTGGTGTTTGAATTTTTTTGGAGTTTTGTGCTTGAATAAACAAGGAACTGTGCTTCTTTAGTGCGCCACTAAATTTGATAATTTTTTAGACAGAGGGAACAGCGACTATTCGTACTCGCAAATTTATGACCAATAGGCTGCTATGCAGAAAGCAAATGGTTGTGGATGTACTGCACCCCGGTCAGCCGTCGGTCAAAAAAACCGACATTCGGGAAAAGTTGGCCAAAATGTATAAGGTAAGCAACAAATAGCACCTCAGTTTTTGGTATACATCACTAACCAATTAATTTTAGGTGACCCCGGACGTAATCTTTGTATTTGGTTTCCGAACCAATTTTGGAGGCGGTAAATCTACCGGATTCGCCCTCATTTATGACACATTAGATTTTGCCAAAAAATTTGAACCCAAACACAGGTTAGCTAGGCATGGTTTGTCTGAAAAGAAACAACAAACCCGAAAGCAGCGCAAAGAAAGGAAGAACAGGATGAAGAAGGTTAGAGGGACAAAAAAGAGCAAAGTTGGTGCTGCTGCCAAAAAGGTAAGATACGTTTTATTGAAATTACAAAAAAAAGGGGTCCAATTTCTCAAAGTATTATTAAATTGTATAAGAGATGAAATTTTATTTCATTTGAAAAAATTTCAGGGAGCTAAGAAGTAAATTAATGAAGGTATAATTTGTGTGTGAGAGCTTGTGTTTTGCCTTTTTATTTTCTATGTTAAAATTAGCTGCCCTTAACAACGTTTTATTATTTGGAACTAACATTTAACAAATTTTGAATATTTTAATGGCAGGAATGAATTTTAAATTTTTATTTTATTTTTTTTAGTAATCCTCGAGTGCAGGCCCCATTCTGTACATGGCAAGAGCATTATGAAACCTTGGATGCTTGTAATAATGTCTTTAACATCATTGTCATAAGAAATATATTTAAGTGTTATAAAATTACAGGGTTGTTTTTATATAATATACTTCTTACCTCAAACCTATGGAAATTGGAATATTGGACACTGAAAATTAAATTAATTTACTTGAGAGGTTGATGAAAATTTTATACTTACCTCGGTTTGCGCCAATGAAAGGCATTTCAGAAATTGCAGTGAAGTTTCACAATCAGATTGCTGTTTTGTTTGCTCTAAAAGTATGTTTTGGTAAAAAGGAGACCTAATAATACATTTTTTTTAAATCAATCTACCTGCTAATGTTGAAGTTTCCAAGGTTCCATCAAAAGGCAAATCCGACCCTACATGTCAAGGAAAAGTACTTTCAAATTGATCGATTACAAATTAATATTGTTCGAACAAAGTTTAATTTATGTTGAACTTTCAGTAATTGTTGTGTTACTGACCATAGAGGAGAAAATAATGTTTACTATTGTTAAATTTATACCAATAGCGTTAGCTAAAGCTTCGTTGCAGAGCGTGAGGCGATCATATAACTGCTTGGCCTGGTTGTAGATGATATTGTTGTCTATCCACTTCACAATTAGTTCGTAGTCAGGCATATTGTTTGCTTTCATCTGAAAAGTTCAAAGTTTACGCTGTCCCTATTATTCAGCCTAATTAGCGTAATTACCAGCTTCATTTCCTGGAATATGCACTGGTAATACTCGCACTGAAACAAAAAACTATCATTACATATACACCTGGAGTTCGGAAGCGTAAACCTTTTGCGGCTTCTCATCCACGTCCAACCCCAACTTTTTTTTCGCGAAATTCAGAACCGTCTTTGTGGTGTGTTGGATCCTCTCCACTATCTCGACCTTGCTGGACCAGCAAACGTCCTCTGCTGCCAGCAACCTGTTCGGTCGGTCGCCGCAAGCTCCTTGCGACCCCTTCAAAAAAATTATTCCGGCAAAAAATACAACTATTTATTGCACAAAAAAAAAACGCTACCTTTATGCAAAGCGTCAACGCCAAGCAGAAGCCCACTAGGAACCTCATGTCGCCTGGCCCACTGATACAAACGCCTCAGCTGGTGGACGTTGTTTTTAAAACAAATGCCGGTGCCTGGAAATCCTCGTCGGCCTTTTAATAACCAGCTAATAACACCCATTCCGGAGCGTATGACAGTAATTAAATGTCGCCAATCATTTTAATGCTACACCGACCAGCATCCGGCGAATAAAAATCGCTTTTCCATTAATTAGTGTGTATTATTCGACAAATTAACGAGCGGACACGACAACAAAGAGCAAATCAGGCGCTCTTTAAGGGAAGGGTTGCCATAGTCTTCTTAAGATGGCAGCGACGATGTTATTTATTTTTGACAAGCCGCGAGTGCCAACAATGAAGGAGGCGGCTATTACGCGCTGTAGCGCGTCCCGGCCATCTCCGATTCCCAGAACCTTGGTTACCTCACGGACCTTTCTTTAATCTCGGGTTGCGGGCGTGTTATTAAAAAAACTATCGCAGCGAGCAATATTGAAACAACGGTCGTCGTTTTGATAAATTCAATATATTTTCTATAACATACAAATAACACCGCAACGTTTAGAATTTGCACTAAACATTGTTACGAGCCGAAGACATAGGCTGCGGCGCCGGCGATAGCGGCCTTGATGCTGTTCTTAATTGCCATCCGTATTAATCCACTTGAGAAATCTCTGGAGCAGATCGACCACGAATTTGGCAGCCCTGTCGAAAAACCCAGGTTTCTGTTGATCGCCCTCCTCAAAATCCTGCTCGTTGATGTCGAATTCCGCCTGCCTCTTCAGTCGTTCGAAAACTGTACCCTGACGATACGGACCTACGAGAATTTTTTTATTGGAAAGTTTTGGATAGATTGACGCGCTCGGTCGTACCAACGAGCCCGATTTGCCCCAATTCTTTTATGAGTTCTTTGTCCTGCTTCAGATATTCTGCGATACCCCTTTCCAACAACTCTACATTGGTGGGTTTGGGAGCCTTTGATGTGCACAAAAAAAAAGAAAATACAACAACGGACTAAAAAGAAATAGTAACGGCTTACCGCGAGAGCGATTTGTAAGAGGGCCGCAATCAAAAGGACCCCGTAAAGGATCACTTCGCGTTTCATCTCGCGCGGGTGTAATTTATTAATCGCGCCTATTTGAAAAGATCACAACTAGCGTCGTTAATTTAAATAAAATTCTTTTATACGCAGGAAGCATCATTTTTGCGTTCGCGTTTCAGGGCCGGACTTGGCGCGAACAATGTGCATTAATTGAGGGTTAATTTGTTACGAGGTTTGTTACGAATAACGTTTTAAATATATGCGGAAAATTTATGCAAAGATTAAATTAAATAATAGTAATTTATTGTGTATATTATATTGCCCGTGGATAAACAATGAAAGGACAATGAAAGAAAAAATGTGTATTATAAAACGAAACTTAATGATGATAATTATATAAAACACTTTTATGATGGAACGTCAACGTTACGTTTAACGTTCCCTTCGTATGATTGACGTCCCCTAAAATGCCAGTTTTTTAACGACATAATTAAGATGTCCAAGCAGTTTTCTCCTATCGTTTTTGTCGCAGACTCTTCAAAGAATAACTACATATAACAATAATATTTTTATATAAACTATAAAGGTGTAAAAACAGTACACCTCTGGACAAAACTGGGAACTCTAAAATAATTGGGTGCCATATAGCTACTAGAAATATAGAGGCCCTTCCCATGCTGCTATACAGGAATTTATAAAGCAATTATGCAAAAAATTTTGAGGTCTATTCAACTTGCGCATGCGTAATATTTGAAATTTTGTTTTTAATCAATGACTTTGCGGCGTTCACCAACCAACATGGCCGCTGACAGATCATCAATAACAGTGTTTTCTCAAAATATATCCAAATCCTGTTTTATCTTCCAGCAAAAAAGTGTTAAGTGCAGGTTGGTGAGAGAAAAGTAAAAGCATGCTACTATATTATCTAATACCTAATATTTATACTATATGGATACAGTCAAAACCTAACCACAAATTATGACGTCAATTACTACTATTATTTCGCTATACCTATATTCTATGCAGCTCTAGAACCATTTTTGAGGTTTTGAGGTTTCAAACTGTGACCCAAATTGCTTGAGTGCGCATTCAGACTTTGATATCACCACAAAAATCAAGAAATTCTCGGCTATACGGCCTCTACAAACGCTCTTTCAAGCCTAGCTCATATATACTTACTGTGACTCACAGCTTAAATGGTGCAGTCGCTATAACAAAAACTAACTGGTCTGAATGTCAATTTATTTGAAAAAAAAACAACTTATTGAAATTAAGTTAGTAAAGAGCCTTCTAAGAAAGTGTCTTAAATATGCCTTACTTAGTTAACAAAAATGGATTAATTAAATTATATACAATATAACGTCGCAGCTTAAATAATGCAAAAAAAATACAACCAAATCAATATTCCTGCTAATTTTTAGTCGTGCCTCCCTCATTATCGATAACGGCTTGTAATCTTCTGGCAGAGCTAAATGAGAGGCGTAAACACCGTCTCGGATGACTGATTCCCATATTGGTGACAAACAGACCTGAGTCGCGGTTAAGATTGTTAGGTTGCTTATAGATTTATTTCTATAGTCTCGAATTTTTCGTTGGTAGAAGAATTGATTACATGCAAGAATTTTAGTTTTATCGAATAAAATTTTATGACCGGTTTCGTGATTGTGTTCGGCAACTGCTGATAAGTTTATTTGTTTTAGTCTTAAGGCTCTTTCATATTCTTTGAGCCTAGTTAATATTTTTCGTCCGGTCTCTCCAATGGAATTTAGTCTTTGACGAATGTTGAGAGGTTTTTGGACAAATGGTAAATATGGTTTTGACGTTATTAATCCCGGTTATTATTTTTGCTATGACGTTAATATTGTATATAATTTAATTAATACTTAAGTAGCGCATATTTAAGACAAAAAGTAATTCACACTTTTTTAGAAGGCTCTTTACTAACTTCATTTCAATAAGTTGTTTTTTGCCAAAAAAATAAAGAGGCATTCAGACCAGTTAGTTTTTGTTATAGCGACTGCATCATTTAAGCTGTGAGTCACTGTATATGAACTAGGTTTTTAAGTATGAGAACCACAGTTGACTTATTCCAAAGTTGTTTATAAATGTATAATCTGGAATTGCAAAGGGGTTACTCGAATCTCAAGCACCTTATATCAGCTATTTTTCTCGAGTGTCTTCGCTATCTTTAGGTTGATAAAAAAGCGTAAAATTGGGCTCCCGGTCCGAACCTGTAAATGTCACCCATGACCGTGAATCTTGCATAACGTTGGAAAATCAAAACACAGGTTGTATGCTATTACTTTTACATATGCGGAATTAGTTAACGTGCCTTTTTCCGGCTTTTTGTTAAACACATTCATTCACTAAATTGACATTGATCTTCCTCCATTTATCCGACAAAAAATATTCAATCAATTGCTTCTCAGTAAACCGAATGGGCGGGAAGCGCGGCGATTAACGAAATTGGCAACTTCCCACCTGTCGATTGATTATTCTACGAGACAATATCTCAAACTAAGTTTTCTGTATATTATACCCAATTTATACGCAAGAAAATGTAATGTAAAACGAAAATATGGCGGATGCGCCAGGCACTCGACGAAAAAAATTGTCTGGATGATGTCCGCAGATCGACGCGCGCTTGCGTAATCACCCGACGCAATTAACGACCTACGGACGGCTGACAAAGGCGGAGCTCGCTGCCTGGCGGGTAGATGTTTCGATTCGATTGACGTTGGTGTGGAAATCCAGAAGCGGCGGAGCCCATCGGAAACGAGATCGACTTTTAAATGAGTTCGAGTCGAACGGCGGCAGCTCGAAGTTTTATGTTATTTTTGTTGTGTCCTTTCTCGTTAGATGCAAGTGTTTCGCGTTAACGGTTTGTGTTGTGCAGTTTTTAATTCTTTGTGATGGCTCTCGGCAACGGGAGCACCCCGAACGGGGGCGTAGCAGAAAAGGCGCCCGTAGTTAACGGCACCAACATGGAAACATTGCCGCGAACCGGAAAACAGGTAAACGAGCGGCCGGCCAGCATTAACGATAGGTCGGTTCTTCCTATGGTCATTGGACGCGTAAATTTGAGGCTATGTTTCCTATGCCCTTTGTACCGGATTTGCTACCTTCTTAAAAAAAAAACCGTAATATAGGCCAAAGACTCCTTTCGAATGCTTAGTTTGCGAATGCATTTTTTATTGTGAATACATCTCTGATTAGCACATTAACATCTTATCTAATTTATATCACCTGTGTTTGTGTTGAGGCGGGAACACAAGACGTGTGTATTTATAACGAAAGTTTCTTGCCCCCGACGCTGATCGTTTAGCGACGAAAATCGCACAATTTTTATTTCGTCACCATCGGTTCTATGGACTGAGATTTGGCGGCTCGTTAAAGTCTTCCCCGCGTGCAGTGTTTACGTCGCAAGTTAAACAATCGCAGGTCTCGTTACGATCGTTTACTATTTAAATGCCGCTCTTAATAGCCAATTAACTGTATAAATAGCCGGTTGGAGCCGCAATCGCAGCTGCGCGGTAATCGGGTTCCGAAAGCTCTTCTGTTCACACGAGTTGGATCTAAGTGTCTCCATTGACACCTCGTTGAGATAGGAGGGTCGGTTATTAATATTGCCCGCATGGTATAATCCCTTGTTCAAACAATGTATTTGCCAGGAGACATTATATTATATTGGAGCTTTTAAAACCGCTTACATTTGCATAATGTTTATGAATTCGAACTACTTACACACAGATGTGGCCACTTATTATGTTAGAACAGTAGAATCTTGAGGAGAATAATAGACACCGACTAACTGCTATTATGTTAATATCTAGTTGGGTGAGTTATTTTTCAAAACTAAGCGTCTAATTAGTTATTTAGACAATATCACAGAGGACTTAATCTACTAAAATCTCTAATTAGTTATTTAGACAATATCACAGAGGACTTAATCTACTAAAATCATAGTGCACACATAATGACGCTGATAAATGCCTGTGATTGCTCAAAAACTAGAATCTACCGGCCACTTAATTTATGGCTGAAGCTGAAATTGTTGATCGGTTGGCAATGCAATTATTGAGTTTATTTGCATAATATCTCTAAATTTGTGATTGCGCTGGTAACAACATAAAATTAAATGAGATGTAATGCCCAGCGTAGTGTACCGCTAAATCATAACAACTAACGGAAAATGTTTACAAATAAATAGACATTAGACATAGACTCTTGCAGGACATTTGATCGACGGCATTTTTTGTGACTTAGGGGAACCAAATACATGAAAGGGTGGGCGAATTAAACCACCTCATATTCCGAAGAAAACATCCAAGTTTAATGCTAGGAGGAGTGTTTGTTTTATTCCGTGCAACACAAGCTACCTTTAGAAAAAAGTATATTTGTGCTGTTTTCGTATGAAGCTGAAATAATTTAGCACGTACTGTACGTATTACCAAACGGTTATCGGTTTAATAAGCTTAATTGAGCGTTATACAACAGTTATCAAAGTTCATATGTCATTTTTAATCGTACGCTGTATATTTATTTACGACGCTTCTCAAAATAACTTTTTAATAACTTGCCGCGACGAAAACGAAATAAATTTTGTGCCGACATGTGTTGCCTGCAAAATTGTGCAATACACTGTTGACTAATCTACCGTAATGCGAGAAAAAAATGACTTGGCTATATTCTGACCTTGAAGAAACGTAATCTCACTCAACGACTATAAAAAAGAAAAAGTGGCGATCGTTTTGATTGAAAATACTTTAATCAATAGCGAAAGATGTAAAGCAGTAGCTGATGCACAAGATATACTTTTCTGAAAGCCCTTCCACGTCACCTACCGAAACTGTAGATTTAAAATGAGACTAGGAGATATGTCACAGACTTGACGTTCACGTTTTACGTAGGAATGTAGGAAATATTCGAAGCGCAGAGGAAAAATATTCTTTAGAGGTCGTACTTTCATCGGAAGCGAGTCGGGCACGCTATAGGAAGAATGAAAACAGCGTTATCGGAGCATCTAGAGAGGTTTTTGGAAATAAAAGAGAGAGAACGTCGATTCAATAGACAGTACAATCTGTTATCAGATGCCTAATGATTGAAAGCGGCAAGTAAATAGTAAAACCTTCGGACCTCTTCTATTGAAC